AGTGGCAGTGGCAGCGGCGGCGGCAGCTTCAACGAGCTTATGGCGTACCTTAGTGAAGGCTTAGTAGTCGGCGGTACGGCAGAATCATTTGACTTAGTTCAATGGTGGAGAGCACGGGCATTAACTTGGCCAATCCTAACTCGATTGGCAATTGATATATTTTCGATCCCAGTCTCCATTGTTTCATCCGAACAAGCCTTTAGTACGACAGGAAGAATACTTGAGGAACGCCGTAATGCATTGCAAAGGGATATTGTTGAAGCCTTGGTTTGCATAAGGATTAGGATCGGGCCGATCAACGTCTACATGATACAATTTCGCTGGCAAGCCAAGAATGGATCGATGAATTTAATTGATTAACATTTAATTTTGAAGACGATCCTTAAGCTTCAAATTAAATTGTAAATTTATAATTTGTAAATATGTATTTACTTTTGATATTGTATTTGTAATTGTATAACTTTGTAAGTTTGTAAAATTTGTAATTCGTCACAAAATGATTGCACTCTTTTTTGCTTGCTAAGTTTTTATCCCAATTGGGTTTTTTTTATAAGGTTTTTAACGAGGCAATCATGAATTACAAATTTAAAAATTAATAAAGAAATAATTTTTTTATATAATTCGTGTGTTCATTTCAAATTTCAAATTATAATATATATATATATATATTTTAACACAAAATAACTTAATATTAAAAAAATTAAAAAAATTCAGGCTTTTTTGGGCGGGCTCGGGCGGCCCGGCCAGGCTCGGGTCGTCTAATACAAGCCTGCGGCCCATTCAAGGTGAAATTCGGGCTCGGGCGGGCGGCCCGAATTTCTCGGGCGGGTCGGGTTTGGGCTCGGGCAAAAATCTGGGCTTCCAGGTGGTCGCGAGCAGCCCGTCCAAAGTTCTAGCACTAATTATAAATCTAATAATAAGTAGTGCTAGTACTTTAGACGGGGTTGCCCACAACCGCTTAAAAAAATCGATTTTGAGTCTGACGCCCCATCCGACCTGACCGAATTTTTCAGGCCGCCCGCTCGAGCCCGAGAAAGCCTTTGAATGGACCGCGGGCCTGGTTTTGGCTGCCTGAGCCCGCCCGAATGGCCCGAAAAAAATATATTTTCTAAATTTTATAATATTGTGTATATATATATTTTATATAATATACTATTATTTTGTAATTGTATTTGTATTAAGTTATTTTGTATTAAAATTATATAAAAACTAAAATCAACATTAAACACACATTATTAACACAATTTAATAAATTTATTTTGTATATTAATTTTTAAATTCGTAATTCATTATTACCTCGTTAAACCCAACTGGGATAAAAACTTGGTAAGGAAAAAAGAGTGCAATCATTTTGTAACGAATTATAAATTTTACAAACTTACAAAGTCTAAATATACAATTACAATGTCGAAAGCAAATGCATATTTACAAATTACAATTTAATTTGAAGCTGAATGATCTTCTTCAAAATTAAATGTTAATCTATTAAATTCATCGATCCATTCTTGACTTGCTGGCGAAATTTTATCCTGTAAACTTTGATCGGCATGATCACAATCCTTAATGCAGACCAAGGCTTCGACAATGTCCCTTTACAATGCGTAATGTCCCTTTGCAATGCATTTCGGCGTTCCTCAAGTATTTGTCCGGTCGTACTGAAGGCTTGTTCGGATGAAACAGTGGAGACTGAGATCAAAAAAATATTTATTACCAATCGAGTTAGGATTGGCCAAGTTAATGCTCTTGTCCTCCACCATTGAACTAAGTCAAATAATTATCTAGTACCATCGACTACTAAGCTCTCACTGAGGTACGCCATAAGCTCATTAAAGCCGCTACCGCTGCTGCCATCTGTTGATGAAGATCCACTCCCAGCTTCTGTTTGAGTCGTCTTCTTCTTCTTCAACCCGAAAACATTCAAGCATGAATGCGGATTTTCATCTTGTTGTTGCGGTTCTTGTTCTCTAGAGTTTGTGTTTCTAAACCTATTCTCATATTTATTATAGATCAAAAATATTTTTGCCTCTATTGTTGGAAATTGGTCAGAACAATTGATGCCTATAAATTCACATAAGTTTTCTAAACCACTTTCTAAACCGTCTAATTTTAATCTAAGATAAAAAATAGTACCGAAACCATACAATAAAGGCAATTTAGACCAATTTTTTTTTTTAAATTTCTTCTCCATAGAAGCGACAGGAACTCATAAAATTGGGTTCGCCCTATATTCACTAAATAAAATACTAATTCTTAAAAGTTCACCTAAAGCTAAAGGTGATGTTGGGAAATATGTTCCACTAAGTTTTAAAGTAACTTCTTGAAACCTACCTAAAAATTAATACAAAACTTCGGCAATTTGTCAATCATATGTGTCTATATGTTATGTTCCTAATTTTGCACATATATAGTTTATTATAGCATCCTTATAGGGGATGCATTGTTGAAGCATAATATAAGTTGAGTTCCATCTTATAGGCATATCTAAAGCTAATGCTCTAGGAGGTAGATTTAATGCTTGTAAGAACCTAAACCAATCTTGTTCTCTTTGGTTACTACTTTGAATACA